TGCTTGATTTTTTATTTTTTTTTATATTCAACAACCATATGCTGGACTCAGGTTGGACGCTTGACTTTTTATGTTAGAATTAAGCCTAAGATTGCACAGCATTAGATAAAGTGTAAATATAAACCACCAATGAATAACAGCATATAACATACATATATATATATATATATATATATATATATATATATATATATATATATATATATATATATATATATATATATATATATATATATATATATATATATATATATATATATATATATATATATATATATCTTTAATAGAGCTTGGGTAAAATAATTCAAAGCAATTAGATGTACTTCTTTTGAAATGTTTTGAAGAGGTTGTATTATAAAAAGAAAGGTTGCAGTTAGCATGCCTGTTTAAATTGTCATTCATCCTGGCCGTGGGACCCACAAAATAAGCTTTTAACCAGGCTTTGTTCAGTTTCTCTGAAGATATTTCCATATCTATCTAGGAGTCTTTGTCAATTCTCTAGGCTCGCTCTACAACTTTTTGTATTTGGAATGATGCTCTTTGATAGGTGTTGTAAAATCTTCAGAAAAACTGAGCAAAACTGAGTTTTCATTTTTATCAAAACAACAAAAAATGTTTCTCTCTTGGATCATTGGAGCCTCAAATTTGAGACCTTCTTAATGCTTTAAAGTTCTGGGATACATCATGCTTTTTCAGGCTCAACATAAGACACGGTTACATCTGGTTAAAAATCTATCCATTAGCTGATTAGATTTTGTAGGATTCAATTTCCTCGACCTTGACACATACGTCTTTGTGCTTTTACGTGGTGATCTGTAAATTTTTGACGAATGAGTCTACAAATTACATTTCAGACGACCTCTACACTGAATCTGAGAGGAACATCAGCAAGTCATGGTGTGCATGTGTGTTTTTTACATGACCCGACTGTTTGTGTTGTTCTCTTGTAAGGCATCTCAATAATTCATTGTTTTAACATGTTTAATTCACAGCACACAGACTGATAACACACAGTTTTCCCAAACGATGCAGAGGAAGAATTGGCAGGAAATAATGTGCTAATCTTTCAGTAACCTAAACAGTTTGACTAATGATGTAAACAACAAAATGCATGGAAATACGTAAACAGGGAAGATAAGCTATTAATGCCAAGAGTGGGATTTCCTACTCGGCTTATCTTTTATTATCCATGTCCCAATAGAAGAAGTAAAACATACTGTTTTATCTACATTTTTAGCTTTAGGTTTTTCGTTTCACTTATCCGTGAAATAAATGATTATAATATATTATAAATTATTGAAACACAATGAAAACCTCTTCAATATAAAGATTCTTTTTGATTCGGTGAACCATTAACTATTTTCTTGTCCTCTTTGTTTCCATGTCATCCTGACCCCACTGCTGTGCTTGCCTGAGATAATAAGAGGATTACGATAAAGGCGCAAAAAGCTCTTGTGATTCCTTTAGCAGGACTCATTGGGCTACGATGTAGGCAAAAGAGAAATCTTGTCAGAGAAACACTGATACCATAGCTGAGTGAAGGGTATTGTAGAGATTCACTTTAGAGGCAGAACAAAGGTAAAAGCTCTGATTACAAGTACCTCCAATTTTCTTTGTCATATTGCAGCATTGTTCTTTAGAGGGTATAAGGGAGGGAACCCTTCTACATCTTATTCATACAAAGCAAAAGCTCGTACTCTGATGAACCTCCCCCAAAGAGTGATGCTTCTTTCTATCCGTGCTCTCTCCCAAAGACGAGATGCTTTTTTCCTCGCAATTTGGATGGTATTTTTATGGTTTACTCTAAATGTGTCCATATCTGAATAGAAAATTAAAACAATAATTACCTCACAAATGTATCTACATGTTTTTTTTCTTTAATTAAATTAAAGATTTGTAAACAAAACCATTAAAGATGTGTTTTTCATTCTGTAGCAACAGCATTCAAGCTGCAGATTCGGGGTCTTTACTAAATAATGAGAAATCATGTCAAATGTTGCATGAGGTCATTTATAAACAAACAGTGGGGTTTCTTTATTAGAGGGGCCAGGATGGGGCCAGTGTTTTTTCATGGGGCCACAGAACAAAATGAATAAAAGAACAGAGCAATACTATACTCCACCGGGCTGTACCGTATCACCTTTACTTATAAACACTTTATAATAACAAAGATCATCACAGTGCTGTATATACAACCTTAAATAATAGTCAAATTAAAATAGACAAGTAAAGCATAGACAATATTAGATTAAATAGGTCCAAGGGACCAGTGTGTTTCTGTGCAAGAACCAGGACTACTGAAAAAACTGATGACTTCTGTCCAGCACCGCCCACATTTATAAATCCCATTCATCATATTTTTTTTTTTAACCTATGCCCAGATTTTACTCCCATTAACGGGGAATCTGTTTAGAAGTAACCCTAACAAAGAAAGAACATAGGAGGATTCAATCAAATCAAATGTAAGTCATCAGAAAATGCAGACAAATTGGAGAAACAGTGGGGTGAAAAAGTATTTGCCAACTAATGAATTGCGTTCTAAAGTTAATGAAAATAGTTTTTTATTTTATTTTAAGGAATTTAATGTACTGAAGAAACAAAACCAAAACAGGATCAAAACCAATCTGGCCCTGAGTGTGGCCCCTAAGCATAATACATTTTTCATAGCACCATGTGCCATACTTTTCAAAAATGGTATTTTGCTGGATTCATGTATGTCTAGGTAATAATGGATTCTGCTCATCACAGTGAAGACAAGCGTCTTTCTTGGGGTTTGTAGGAAACAATGAACATTTCATAAACAGTGAGTACTCTATAGTGCCAAAAGCAATGTGTATTCATATATACAGGTATATGCCTGTACTGGGCTTTGGAGGGTTTAATAAAGGCCTGATATAGGACCTTCAATTTGACCACAATTGAGGACTTTCATTCTGTTCTTTTTCTTTTTTTCATTTAACACTATATTGTGAGCTTTGTATAATTTTTCCTGTAGCATAACCAATGTCAGCTGGAATATATGTGACCTTTGTGTTGGCTGCAATTTCTCCCTATGGAGTTTCTGGTTAGGAACAGAATTCATGGCTCACTCAATTACAGCAAAATTGTCCAGGTCCTGTCGCAGCAAGGCAAACAGAAAAAGCCATAGGAGAAACTGACAGCCAAGTAATTACTCTGATTTGTAACAATCATTTTGGGCAGGAAAACCTTTAATAAACCCATCTCTCTTTTGCCGAGTGAAAAATCAGTTTATTTCCTGTATGTAAAGTGTTACTTTTTTGTTGTTTTTTTACAATACAGAAAAACAAACAAAAAGTATAATTTTAATGACAGTAAGTTAATTATATTTAAATGAACATTTTAGAAACACATTTCGTTGTACATGCAAGATATAGTGCTCTCTCTCCATAATATCAGGTTAGATTATCAGCTTTCCCAGTTGGACAGAGAATAAGAATGCCCCCTGAGATAAAACATTTTTACTGCATGTTAGAGCTGGCTGAGCAACTCTGGGCTTAGAATCTAAAATGCCTAATGGATATATGCTCCAAAAGTTTTTAGTCTTTGTTTTTAAGCACTTTTGACTGTTTCAATTGTCATGATCTGCCCTTAATTGTTAATTTCACTCAGATTATTGTTTTGTGTTTGGGGTCGGTTCTGTTAGTTTTAGGTAGTTCCATGGTTTATGTCCAGTTTCCTGGCAGCCAGCTGGTTGAGAGGGTTTTCGTGTCTGTCTTGTCTTTTAATCCTGTTCTGGTCCTTCTCCGTGGAGCCCTCAGGATTTTGGCTCAGAAGTTTTATTCCAGTAAGTCTGCCTCCAAGGAGGAGACCAGTTTAAAGTCCTGCTGAAATCCTGGTACAACGTCTTGTCTCTGTCCCTCAACCACTGAGCCTGCCTGTCTGCATCTGTGCGTGTCTGACTGGGGACGCTTCTGTACCCGTTCTGATTATGACCCTACCTAAGCGCTGTGAGAACTCTCAGAACCCTGTTTAACGATGCACCTCTAGAGAAGTGAATATGTGAATATTGCGTATTTCCTTTAAATAGACCATATTTAAAAACTACGTTATTGTTGAAATCCTGGAAGGTGAGACACTCTCCTTTTATACAGAATCTGTGGCTTTCCTTAAAAATCCCTTTTGTTTTTTCCCTTGTCAAAGCTTCTTCTGAACAGTTTCTTTAACAGCACTTTTAATAAAGAGTTGCTTGGTTCGCCTTAGGCGGATGGTCTCCTTGGATAGTCTTTTTAGTATGGCTCACCAGAACTCTGCTACGGCTAAAAAATACCGGTCTGAGTATGTAAGTCCTGCTTATAACAGAGAGAAAGCGACTGCTTTTATCTATAGGATTTATTGGCATATATGTCATATGAAAAGGTTTAACTCCTGACAATTTCTCAAGGTGCAACCACAGACACACTTGATAGTCTTTCTCTCTGTCATAATATTTTTAGGAATGCTGCATTTGTCTTATCTAGAGTGAGAAATGCTGGATTACTTGTTGCCCCGCTTGCTGCTTATTTCAAACAACCGAATGTGATTGCTTCCTAAATAAAGAGCGGTCGAATAGGGAAATTATATACAAATCCCTCTATGTCAGTGTAGAAACAATCAGTGCTGTTTGGCAACCTGTTTGATGAATAAAAATAATTCCACCAGTTTTCTATAAAAGGAAAGTGTATGTGTAGTATCTAATTTATTCTCATGGGACATACTGTAAAGGTGGAAGTTGATTTATAGTCCCTTTTGCATATGTCTATTCTCAAGCTTTGGGTTGGTGTACTTTCAAAACACTCTGCAGGAATTCTGTCTCTTATGATTTTAAGAGGGCAAAAAAACTAAGGTTGAGTTGTCATCCTTTTTTTTTTTACTTTTTAAATAACCTCACTTCTTCTTTTCTGTACTTCAGTAAAAACATGATTATTCATGAACCAGCTGGGTGGAATGGGCTTTAATGAAATGTTTTAACCCAGAGTGTTGATCCAAATCTGGAGGCTTACCTGAGCTCAGTGTAGTTCAGCTCCACTGCTTGAATCCTACCCCCCAAAATCAAACAGCACAATCCATTGTTTGAGGATTAGAGGTAAAGGTTTTTGAGCGGTTCTTTCCATTTCCTCCACATCAGAGGTAAGGGACAGGGGGTGGGATTGGGGGTGGTTGGTGTGGGGGTTTGGGGGGGGAGATGGGTGTCTGGATCAGGCGACAACCAGCCGACTGCAACCAAGATACCGTGTAGGGTAAAGACTGACCTCCATGCACGCTTCTCTGATAATCTTGTTTAGTCAAGTAAATAGCATGGAGCATGAAATTAGAACATGCAGGATTGTACATTACATGTTGTGATCTTCCTTGATTTTTGGATTTATATGGAAGGAATTTGATGTTTAACTCACTTTTCCATTTAATTTTCACGAAGATATAAAAAAAGGCATAATTTTATAGTTTTGATGATTTGTAAAAAGATTATTTACTCAACGTTGCCACACATTTCTAGTCACATTTATTCCAAAGTTGTCTATACCTGATATGTAATCTACTGAGAAAACTACTTGGGCATATGTGATAACACTATGCCTCCTAATACCCACTTCCAAAACAGAAGGAAACCCAAAACCAAACATAGAAATGGTTTAAGAAGACAAGCTTGTTAGAAAAAAAAAAAAAAAGTTGAAGTTTGATTTCCAAGGACTAGCAATGGTGTTTTCCTCCCAGAACCTATGAATATTGCAGCAGCATCCACCAATACAGGACTCTGAGCCAACGGCTTGTTAAACACCTACTGAGATGATGTCGGTTAAGGGTTAAGAACAGGCGTGGAAAACCCTCTCTCCTTTCTGCTATTAGGCTGTTGAGTTATAATGGTGCAATCACTGGAATCAGATGTACTTGAGTAGAGACACATCTAAAACATGAAGGACAGTGGGCCCCAAGGAACAGCCTTAAGCATCTCTGATCTAAGATATGAATTAAACCAGATATTTAACCACAGCACATGAAAAGCCACAAATGCTTTTTCTGAGAAAATAGTTTTCTCGTTCTTTCTTTAAATTTTCAGAACAAAAGTTTTTCCCTGAAGGTTTTAACTCTGTTTAGAATATTTTTTGTGCTTCCTGGTTGCTGTTGCTCCGATATTGAAATATAATATTCTTTTCTTGCCATGTCAAATCTTGTTTTTTGTGTTGCTTTAGGGAAACTGTCTTCTTCCTCTCTGAGTTTTGTCCCACCCAAGGTCAAGACAAGGTCTTTTCCTTTTGTCCTGGGATTAATGGGCATATTTCACACCAAAATACAATAGTTTGCAGGGCAGAGAACCAAAATCATTTAAAAAGCGTATCATGGGTGGACACTACCATGCTGTGTATGAATGTATAAACAAATGAAGGTGGCTCCTGGAGTCAGCTGCACATTGTATTCCAGGCAAAATCAAAAATGATTAGGTCCACAATCCTCTGCTTAATATGATTACTAAACAGGAAATGGATTTTTATACTGAGTATCAAAATATTCAATATCAGTTATATCTGTCCTTGCTTAGGTTGTAAAGACGCCTTGTCACCAGCATCTATGTTAGCATGCATCGTGGCTTGGGGATTATGAGGGGCATATTCTGGCTTAAACATGCTGGATCTCTTACAGCTGGAACAATGCCTTGGTTGGAGAGATGCTATACTGTATATTCAATAATAGTGCTGCTCTCAGAACAAGTGTCAGAACAGACAGTGCTCCACAATTGAGTTGTTTAAAGGATTCTATTAACGAAAGCCACCAAATAATTATTTAAGTTGCCTCTTTTTGTCAATTCTGTTTTTCTTTTATATTCATTTCAGTTTAATGGTTCCTTTTAATCTTTTTTCTTGATGGCAAATTGTTGTGAAATGCAAATGTTGTGAAGCCCAGCATTAGCAAATGCCTATATGTTATTTTTTCTTTCTTATCCTGCATTGCTCTGTTTATGGAAACCCAGGATACAAGGCTGAGGGAGCGCAGGGACAAACAATCATAACTCAATTAATTATAAATCAATTCACAAAATGAAACCTTTTATTCAAATGAAACTTATGTGAGACGTTGTGTATTGCAGGCGCTCTGATTCAGAGTGAATGAGCTTTTAAAGACTTCTACACTTGCAATACAAACTCAAAACCTGCGCCTAAAAAGTTAAAGAAGGCAATTTTATGTCTAGCAACACTTATTACACCAAAACACAGTAGAACTTGCAAGACTTGAATACGTTTTGTCATCCTATTATGTTTTAAACAAAATCACTCTTTATTGGTCCATGAACAAGGTTAATGTCATGTGTGACAAATACCAAGTTATTCAGTCATATAATTAAGACTGCTGAAGGAGGTGGTCCCCAATCTGTCCTCACTCTTTTCCCACCATCTAATTTTCCTTTCTGTCGCAACCCTCCATCGCCACAACTTCTACAGCCTCCACCCATTAGTCACATGCATGCATCGCCATGTCAACCAACAAAATCCTTCTCCAGAGCCCGGTTGGTCCAGGACAAAAACAACATGTATGCAAGTACTAAAACAGATCTATATTTATGAAAAATGAGCCATGCATGCACAAAGACGCAAAGATTAGCCAAAGGAGTGCAGGGTCACGGATTGCAGTCCCTTTACATCAGGTTCTGAATATTAATGTGAACAGATAAGCAGCCGTGACAATCTCTTTAGGAGCCTACCATTTTGTTGTTGGCATGTCTGGTTAATGTATGCGAATCTTTAGCTCCAATATATGCAAATGACGCTCACAGTGGTTTGTTGGTTCTAGTATGACAGAGTTGCATTTTTATTTAGTTCTTTAATAAATATCTGGATGAAAAATAGCCGCGATGAGAATAAAAAAGAAACACCTCTTCACCTGTCCAGAAGGGGGCAGCAGCTGTGCTTAGCGCCCCCTTCTGGACACACTTCTCTTTCATGTGCACCTGTCTCCGCTCTAATTGAGTCCAATTATTTTAAAAAGATTATAATCACTGTTGTGACGGATCAGAACTTAAAAATGGACATTAATGAATATGCCCACCAGCCATAGGTCAAGAATAGCTTTCTTAGAAAAAAAAAAATCCTGATCCCCAGTGGCTGCTCCTCATGAAGAAGACATCTTTTGTTATATACGGAGCGATGCATTCAAAAGTCAACGCCTGCATAAAGAAGCGACATGCACCGCATGACATTAATCAGGCTCGATTAGAGATGGCGCCGCTTGCCTCTTTACTCCTCTCTTAGCTCCCCTTGGCTTCTCTCATCCATTGCTGCCTCACCCCTGACCCCTGCCCTCCTCTTCCTCCAACCCTCATCGTCTACCAAATCCTTTAATCTGGTCTACTTCTGTGACCCTTTCCTTTATTCTGACGACGGGTACTAGTCTGCACCCATGCCCCATGAAATCTGTTGGTCAGTGCTCCAAGCTAAGCTACTCCCCTCTGGGGAAGGAGGAAAAAAAGGAAGCAGGAGAGGCAGCTTATAGATTAAGCACAAGTAATCAAGAAAGATTAAAGCACAGACTGAACAAGAAAGAATGCTGCTATTTTTTAAATCTCCGCTTTTTAGGATTGCTCTGTTTTTATGGAATTTTTTGCCTCCCTCCTGTTGCATTTATTATTTATTTCAGTTATACAGTCTTATGTGATAGTTTGATTGACAGCAACTGCAGAAATCAAACCCCACCCGGTTTAAAGTTGGTCAAAATGGGCATTAGCTGATTTAAAGTCATAGTCTAATACATCTATACAGTGTATGCTTGTAATCTCGATAAACATTAGAGTGCAGAAAAATACACAGTTATTTTCCTGTGTTTTTTAATGGACCACTACATATTTATCTCTCATTTTGATAATTGGGTTGGGTTTAAGGCTGCAGAGACTATCATTGTTCATATTAAATTTAGAATCCCTTTAGTGCTGATATATAAAATGTTCAATATTGCCCATCTATCATAGGTTCCTCAGGGCTTAGTTATTCTTTCATCCAACCCTTATTAAGGTGGCTTAAAGACCTCAAACCTCAGATGGATAGCTTAGCATGTTCATTGTTTTTGAAAAGACAACAAGACAACAGTGAGGTTCATTTTATGGGGCTGCTTACAAAACCTTATTAGGGGAGTCACATGACTGCCTCTCTTTCACCACGAAAGTCATCGTTAACGCAGATTAATTAGATCAGCAAAATGTTCTGATCATTTCATGTTCTGATTAAAAATTTTACAAGCTGTGAATATAAAAAAAGCTCTTTCTTTTGTACTGTAAGCTAATTGCAGCCCTATGGCTTGTCTAAGGTGTGGCTGATATGATATGCAATCAGCAGACCTACAGTAGGCATCAGAAGTTCAGTCTCCAATGAGATTGGAGACTGATTTTTACAGATGTCTCGCTGTCCTAAAATTCCAATTTTCTCAGTTGTGCAGGTTGATCTTTCAGCTTTAGCTGACCTTGGAGGACATTCGTCCTCCTGCCTATGTTCAAATCTCTGGTCTTTCTGCACTGGGTTTGCCTTTTCTTTTCATTTATGCATTGGTTCTCTCAGAGAACTCCCATGGTCCAAAAACATAATTCTTGGAGACTCTTATTGGCATCTTATTGGCATGCAAATCTAGAGGGGCAAGGGGGCCAGGAGGGGGAATGGCCACCCTTAGCCAATCACTGTCCACCCCTACCAAGTGATTTGTTATTTCCCCTGGAATTTAATGATACCATCATTTGTAATGACGTTTAACCCTGGTATAGTAACCAAAAACATAATACAAAATTGCAGCAAAAAAATCATGGAGTCTTCTGTAAAGATAAAGAACATTGCTCAAACCATTTTTTATACATTATGTACAGCAATAAATTTATTAAATTACAACTAAAAAAACATGGATATAGCTTTATCAGCAGGGACCCTGATGAAAATTAGGGCTTGGCAATTAATTGCATTTGCAATATAACCACAATTTGTCAAAACACAATTTTTAAATCTCAGAGGTACTCAATTTTTTGTCATATTATATTTAACAAAAGTAAGTTACTACATTTCTTAGTTCAGCCCTTTGGGTGAAGGTAACATGCTTAAAGTGGTTTTGCAACCACACAGAAGGTAAGAGGGAGCTGCAGCATGTAGAATTTAGCACTTTTTCACACAAATGTTACAATAAAGTCCTGAAAAAATGGTTTCTGGACAAGCAAGCTTTCAAAGTCATTAAAAGGACTTAAACGCTGTAGTAGATGTTAAATGATTGTGCTTAGTGCAGATTAAATATAGGAAAATAAGAAATAAAATTGCAATTTAAATTTTTGTTTAAAACAATCACAGTCTTCATTTTTGGCAAAATCGTTCAGCTCTAATGAAAATCTGGTTTGTCTTCAGCGAGTTATTTGGAAAATATAGATGCTGTGCGTGTTCCTGTTGGTTTATTTTGATCAGTATAGATTGACCATAAGTTTGGCATCAGTTTTCAGCCACCACTCAGCAGAGGCGTAGCCAGAAAATTTTTATAAGGGGGGCCAGGCAATAACTAATTTACACTGAGGGGTGGCCGAAAACGTATAGGCACCAAAACCTCAGGGTCAATCTACACTGTTCCAACAGGAAAATTAATGAGCATCCATATTTTCTAAATAAAGTCAAACTATACTTTCCTACAGCCTTTGCTAACAAATAGACGGATATATCTATATATACAGTATATATATATATATATATATATATATATATATATATATATATATATATATATATATATATATATATATATATATATATATATATATATATATATATATATATATATATATATATATATATATATAATTTATTATATTACAAGTACCAATATCTACATAAAGTTTTTATTAAAATATTTATTTATCTATGATTTCACTGAAGACTCCTAGATGACTTGCAGAAACATATTTTTATTTCTATCATTTTACCCCATATATAGTACAAAATCTAGTTCTGAAAAGAGCAAGAATTCTGTACTTATATTTAATGTTAGTATATTGATGTGCATAATTAACCACAAAAAAATGTAAATGTTTTGAATATTCCACTTGAGAGTATTACTGCTGCCACCAGCTGTATTAGAGGTAATAAAATGGTAGGGGTGGCCAATGATTCGTTGAGGGTGGCCATGGTCCCCCCTGGCCCCCCATCTAGCTCCGCCCCTGAGTTAGATCAGTTCCATTTCAGCGCCAGAAAATGAATAGAAAACCGACTACATAACATTTTAACCTTTAAGGTTTTAAAGGCACACTATGCAACATTTTTCAGTTAATTAATGTGTTCCATAACATTTTGGATGATTAAATGAGTCATTTCAGGTTGAACAAAGGTATTCTCGGCCGCCCTGGTGGTCTGTGGGGGAAATACCGCACTTGCAATTGCAGGAGCACCGACCCGCACCCACAGGCTCAGAAGTCTCGCGAGAGTCAGTCTTGCTTTACGGTGAGAACTGCTACACTCCCCAGTTAAAAGCATGCTCGTTGCTAGCACAGTGGCGATCTTTGTGCAGTTATGCTACGTTCACGCAGCAAAAGCAGCAAAAGCAGCAAAATCGCGTCTGCTGCTTCATTTTTGCTGCTTGTACCAGTTAGTTCTGACGCGCGGCTGAAGCGGCTTTGCTGCTCTGGCTGCGCGGTGCAAAAGTGTGTCTGACGCGCGTTGGGCGGAGCTTCACTATCCTTTCTCTACCTTGCAGCTATATTTGCTGTGATCAGTGGGAATAAAGTAGTTTTGATATGTGTTTAAGTGAGAAAATACACCTGAAAACTTAATCAGTTCATTCAGATTATTATCCTGCCTTTAATATTTTTTCTGTCGGAGCCGCTCAGACCCCCACATACCAGCGGTGCGCCGACAGTAGGAATCCCTTCATCAGCAGCCTCTGGCCGGGTCACCTCCTCGCGGTTCACCGCGGCAGCTGGTACGTGTTTTTCATCTAAAACTGCATATTCTGCCGGCAGATTTCTGCATTTTAAGTTAATTTAGGCGTCAATAAACTGTTTTTTAAGAGGAGTGATCATAGCCTCTGATCATCAGCGCTGTGTCTCTCTCCCTGCGTCAGATGATTAAACGCGCCTGGCGCTGCTTCAGCTGCTCAGACGCGCTGCGCCTGCTGGTCAAAACGCGCCGCTGGACCTTTTGCTGCGCCTTGACGCACGTCAACCATTGACTTTGCATGTAAACTCGCTGCTTCTGTCGCGCCAGCTGCGGTGTGAACGCAGCATTAGTCATTCGTTGCGTTCGCCTGTCTGCTAAGCTCAAAACAACCGCGCCTGGCTTGACGGAGAAACCAGGAGAACAGCTGTGCATATTTATGACAGTGCACTTTTACTTTCGCCCTCTGGGGGGAGCCTCGCTGGAAAATCAACACCGGTTGTATAGTGCACCTTTAACTTCTTCTATAACATCACAGACAATTTGTCTTAAACTTAATTGAAAAGTTGCAAATTACAAAACATTGACAAAAAAAAAAAAGAAAAAAAAATCACAAGATATAGAACAGTATCTCCAAAATAAGTGTTCAATGATGGAGTGCAATTAGAATTAAGATATAACATACTTTAACTTAAATAAATAACGGAAGAGATTTAAACAAAAAAATAAATAAATAAAAAGGAAGATATATTACATTTCTCCAATTACTTCCTGAATTACGTTAACAGTGTGTATACATTTTTCATTGTTTATTCTTTGGATACAACTGAAGTAATTTTTTAAATCATTTTCAAACACAGGGAAGAAAGGTCGACCTTTGGAAAATTAGGTTTTTGTGCATGTGGAATTTTGCATTTAGAATAATCAAGTTAACCAAGAGTTGCATTTTCCTATCATTATTAGTATGGTGTCTATTCTCTGATCTACAGGTGCTGGTCATAAAATTAGAATATCATGAAAAAGTAGATTGATTTCAGTAATTCCATTTAAAAAGTGAAACTTGTATATTATATTCATACATTACATACAAACTCATATATTTCAGATGTTTATTTTGTTTAATTTTGATGATTACAAATGACAACAAATGAAAATCTCAAATTCATCATATCAGAAAATTAGAATATTGTGAAATGGTTCAAAATTGATGGCCCCTGGTGCCACACTCTAATCAGCTAATTAACTCAAACCACCTGCAAAAGCCTTTAAATGGTCTTTCAGTCTAGTTCTATAGGCTACACAATCATGGGGAAGACTGCTGACTTGACAGTTGTCCAAAAGACGACCATCGACACCTTGCACAAGGAGGGCAAGACACAAAAGGTCATCGCTAAAGAGGCTGGCTGTTCACAGAGCTCAGTGTCCAAGCACATTAATAGAGAGGCGAAGGGAAGGAAAAGATGTGGTCGAAAAAAGTGTACAAGCAAGAGAGATAACCGCACCCTGGAGAGGATTGTGAAACAAAACCCATTCAAAAATGTGGGGGAGATTCACAAAGAGTGGACTGCAGCTGGAGTGAGTGCTTCAAGAACCACCACACACAGACGTATGAAAGACATGGGTTTCTGCTGTCGCATTCCTTGTGTCAAGCCACTCTTGAACCACAGACAGCGTCAGAAGCGTCTTGCCTGGGCTAAAGAGAAACAGGACTGGACTGCTGGTGAGTGGTCCAAAGTCATGTTCTCTGATGAAAGTAAATTTTGCATTTCCTTTGGAAATCAAGGTCCCAGAGTCTGGAGGAAAAGAAGAGAGGCACTTCATCCACGTTGCTTGAAGTCCAGTGTAAAGTTTCCACAGTCAGTGATGGTTTGGGGTGCCATGTCATCTGCTGGTGTTGGTCCATTGTGTTTTCTGAGGTCCAGGGTCAACGCAGCCACATACCAGGAAGTTTTAGAGCACTTCATGCTTCCTGCAGCTGACCAACTTTTTGGAGATGCAGATTTCATTTTCCAACAGGACTTGGCACCTGCACACAGTGCCAAAGCTACCAGTACCTGGTTGAAGGACCATGGTATCCCTGTTCTTAATTGGCCAGCAAACTCTCCTGACCTTAACCCCATAGAAAATCTATGGGGTATTGTGAAGAAGAAGATGCAATACACCAGACCCAACAATTCAGAAGAGCTAAAAGCCACTATTAGAGCAACCTGGGCTATCATAACACCTGAGCAGTGCCACAGACTGATCGACTCCATGCCACGCCGCATTGCTGCAGTAATACAGGCCAAAGGAGGCCCAACTAAATACTGAGTGCTGTACATGCTCATACTTTTCATGTTCATACTTTTCAGTTGGCCAACATTTCTATAAATCCTTTGTTTTTATTGGTCTTCAGTAATATTCTAATTTTCTGATATGATGAATTTGAGATTTTCATTTGTTGTCATTTGTAATCATCAAAATTAAACAAAATAAACATCTGAAATATATGAGTTTGTATGTAATGTATGAATATAATATACAAGTTTCACTTTTTAAATGGAATTACTGAAATCAATCTACTTTTTCATGATATTCTAATTTTATGACCAGCACCTGTATCTATCCTCTGGTCGCACCTGCCGGTGTGACGTCACCAGCTACACCTGAATTTCTTCCAAGCTTGGCTCAGTAGTGGGCGTGGCCAGCGGCTACCACTGAGCGCTCAAGCGCCTTTCCAACACATCAGCGCGTTTCAGTCCTTCGTCTCTCCGTGTATTTCGTTTCTGCGCTCCGAACCGAAATGATCCCTCTGAGGGCGACTAGTTACTGTCAATTTTCTACGATCATTTAAACCTTAAGAGGAAAAAAAGAGAAGGTTTTCATCTCAGGACAGGCTCGGAGGGAGCAGGGCACAGAGGGTTATTGGAGAGCGAGGTTATTCGGATTATTACAGCTTAGGACAGCGGACACTATCCTTAGCAGAAGAGGACGGTGCTTTGACTTACTTTCATGCGCAGTTTATGTCCGGCATATTTAAAAAAAATCCAAATAGTTTTCCTCGCTTTTGTAGTGGAATATGATCCCCCTACGGATGCACGCACTTCTGAGCGCTTTGTGCAGACAGTAGCTGGTGAAACCACTAACCTGTAGGAGGATAACAAACTAAAACGCGACTTGTTTTTTGTTTTTTTATTGGAAAAACCTATTTGAATAACTCTGCGAGTCTAAAAGCTGCAGCAGGATGCATCGTTGAAACGATCCCGTTGTTGAAATCGGATCTGCTGCGCCTTCGGGGATGAGAGACAGGATGACCCTCAGCGGCGCTGCGCTGCTTCTTGTCCCGATGTGCTGCCTGATGTCCGGGACCTGCCTGTCAGCAACTCTTAGTGGACTTAGAGGTGAGTAAAGTCTAGAGCAAGTGAACTGTGACAATCGCAGGAGTATTTCTCTGTGCACTTCTCATTTGTGACATCTATCCAGCGCGCCAACAGAAGAGGGAACCACCTGGAACTTTATGGAGTCCCTGGGTTTTTTTATTTATGTGCTTATTTATTCAACATGTTCCCTCGCTGATGTGAACAAAATAATGCATGACATACTTTGTTCCCTAACCTTTTGTGTTGATTTTGTATCCATCCTCTGCATCCCGGGTTTTACGCACGCCAAAGCGCAGAGCCAAGCGGCTGCCTCCAGTCTTTGTTGGAGGAGTTGATAAATGGAGGTTTTTGGCAAAGAAAGCAGGTGCCAGACTTGTTCTGCTTCAACCCCGACAACAAGTGAGCTGGCTGAGTGGAAAGAGACTCCGGGCTGCAACGCTGGTTGATCCAAACACGCGCTGGGCTTTGAATTTAAAGGACCAGTTCGGTCAAATGAGTTTTTCTGTATTTCAGAAATGTATTCTGGTTTTGCATGAAATGGCAAAGGTCAGTTTATGCCGCTTTGTAAGCTGGTAGGGGATTTATTATTTTGCTCATGCTCAGCCAGTCATATAAATCTCTTTTATATTGCTTTGAGTATAGATGAATGCATAAGAAAAGCCCAACAAATTTAATCTTTGTGTTTGCATAATCAACAGATGTGCAGGGCTTTTATTTTCTCCAAGAGGTCCGGTGAAAAAAACAGCAACAAAAAAAAGCCTTAGCCACAAGCTTGCATCTATTTTGTGATCCCATTTTGGCATTTGATTAGGATTTTGCTTTCTTTGAACTCCAAACCCTCCAAAAATCTGTGTAAATCTTAATCTCTTATACTAAAGTTGATCCCTGACTGTTTAGTCTAACTTCTTTCTCTCTCCCCCATGTGATGGTGCTTACATCTCGGCACAGTAGGCAGAAAAAGATTTAGAGGCTGCGTCACTCTGTCCCTTGACCGTTAGCCTGTGCTCAGATCACCTGATGGCATTAAAGGGCTTTACTCCCTCTAGCTTTATTCTGCAGCAGAGCTTCCCATCCGCAGCTACGTTTTTACTCTCAAACTCTTTATAATTCCAACTGAAGTAATGCAGTGTTTCAAACTTTAGATACTGTTTTCAGCATGGTCGAACTACTGACTTATGAGTGCAGGATGCAACCACTGCAGCTTAAGGGAATGATGAGCAAGAGAAGGGCGGCACAGGAGTCCTCAGATTTGTGGTGTCTTTTATGTTTGCAATAAGACAGTTAGAAATGAAGATATGCGTTATCCGTTTGTTTGCATGCAACAACAACTAGTTGGAGTCTATTTGTTTTTTTTTCCAAATGTTTCTAATTATTGGAAAAAGCTACCACTGACTCTCAGCAGGGGCATCCAGCAATCTTCCAGACTCATTTCATTGGTAAACAAGTCTCAAACCCCATTATTCTTCTCCACCTGCTCCACCCATGTTTTACCTTAAACTTGTTTAAAACTTCATGAAAGTAGCACCTCGCAAAAGTACGTCTACCATTTAAAGTGTTTACCTTTTATTATTATGATAGCCCAACACACTGTGGTGTATTCTTATAAAGTGATGGAAAATAAGTCAAGGTCTAAGATGACAGACTAAGAGAGTAATAAAGCAGACGTGTTGCCTATTGTAACTCAATGGAGGGGAAACACTCATGCAGTGATACAGCAAATATGTTGAATTATGTGTGGAGCTATTTGCAGAATGCTAGCATGAAACATGGCGGTTGCAACATTATACTGTCGGGAATCTTCGTTTTAGGAACACAGAGAGATGGTCAAAGTGATGAGAAGATGCATGGAGGTAAATATGGGACAGATTGGGAGGAAACCCAATAAGAGACAGAAACCCACCATTCAGAAGGACAGCGCCTCCTAAATGTGGTGGAGATCCACATTTATTCAAATTTTTGTTTGGCCCAGTTAAAGTGTAGTTCTTAATCTTACTGAGAATTTGTGGAAAGGCTTAATTACTATTCACAGATCGTCTCCATCTAATCTAACAGGGGTTTAGCTTTTTTGTTGTTGCAAATGGGCTTCTGTTGAGGACTTAAACGCCACAGTTCCCCTCTAAGGTCAGGTACCACTCAGATTGAATGAGTGATGAAAATGTTTCAGCTTCTGAGCAAAAGCAGTGAGCATCTTTGGAAGGGAATGCTTACAAGGCTGTTTTTCCCTAAGTGGTATTACCGTTCATAAAAGCCTCTTACATAAGACACAGTAGTTGGTATACACAGTGAATCAGGTGATTTGTGAGAATGTATCCTGGGTAGAACAATATTTCAGGTAACATCCAGCTTCCAGTTTGTGTTCTTTTCTCAAATGCCAAAACATATTGAGTTTATTGTGAGGGTGTTGCCTTTCAGGTTGAAGACATGGCTGTTTAGACCCCCTACCCCACCCTCTCCAACCAGTCACACTGGTTTAACACCAGTTTTTAATGCTTCTCACATGAAACTCGTTACCAAACAAGAGGGATTGGAGGGTACTGTCGCCCACCCTTGTAGTGGCTAAATAGAAACTCTGATTTATTGTGAGAAAGACGGAAGTTGAGTCTTTAATTTCCCTTGCTGGTCAGAAAATATGTAGGTGTATAAGCATGCTCTTGAGGCCACCCAGGGTCCACCAATTGTATCACCTGAGTGGGCCTTCCAAACTATATTTAATCTGTGTTTGCAGTCGACAGAAGCTTAACAGAATCTCCATTCTTGCACCATGTCTCACCATAGTAACCACTAGATTCACGATTTATGACCGTCTTGCGACTTATGTTTTTAAGCTGACACTTATACTCGAATAGTGATGGTTCCTTTGTGGTAATACAGGAAGGACCATCTTTTTATCACACACTGCTGTTTCTATGCATGCCTGTTGTGGGAACCTAGACTTTCAGGGGTTATTTAACTGGGTCTAATCAGTACTTCTTGGGAGTTCCCATGCCAGGTGCACACATAAAGTCAGAGGATGCCTCCAGTAATCCAGATCCGGTGACACATTTTGTGACACTTATTAAACCATGATGGCCAGTAGAAGCATATCCAATGAAAATGTGATTAAAGTACCAAAGTAATTTCCCAGTAAATGTATGCGACACATTTTTGAAATAAAAAATACTAAGTCATTGAAGGTACAGTGTAAATTACAGTGAAAATTAATTATCCTACTTTTTTGTTTTTCTTTTTTAACTATATGTAGACTTTATCCTTTGTTGTCAGTTTTCCAGCTGTGAAACAATGACTAATTTACTTAAATTACATCTAAGCCTGACTGATATCCCCATCAATTAATATTAAAAGAACAATTGAATTTGATTCTATAGTATCAGGGTTCAAATTGAACAATTTCTAATATCTAATTCTTAATATTTACTGATTCAATTTAATTCGGATTCCTTGATGTCTGAGGTGAGGTTATTTGTTGCGAATTTGCTGTTATGTTAATCTGAACTAAAAGTATAGATTTAGGAAGAATTGTTTTTCAGTTTGACAATCACGTAAGGCATAACGGCTCTTACATTGTTTTCCTATTTGAATGGATGGTCTGCCTTACAATGCTCATCATACTTTCTTTGGATTTGACTAGGATTTTTTTTTAACCACCAATGCGCCTGTTAGAAAACACGTGGACCTTAACTGTTTATGTGTTTTGGTTAAAGCTGCATTGTCCTGTCCCCTTGGAGAATATAATGTGGTTATACAGAAAAAAACAAAAAAACAAAAAACAAAAAACGGCCTCCTCTTTCTCATCCCTCCATCCTATTGTCTGCCTCTCTAACCCTCTGTTCTATCCATCCTGGAAATGGAGCTGATAGGGTGTGGTGGAGTTAAGTGCTTCCAGGGGAATGGTGGAAGGCTTCAGCAAGATGCTTTTAGCGCTTCTTTTAGCTCTGCCTGATAAATCCTGCTCCTGACCACTTAGAGGTGCTAAATTCTAAAACTGGAATTAATATCTTTTATACACTTTATATACATTTCCTGGCCTTTTTAAGAATTCCAACACGTGCTTTCCTCTAGGGTTGGACATGCAACATAATCACATTTTTAAAATAAGCAATTTCCAAATCTAAAAATCTAAATCAATATTTGATAAAGTTAAATTTACGCAGAGAAGGACACCAGCTTTCTCAATCCAACCTGTTAAGTGGTGGCAAAAAGCATATAGGTGGCTTTCAGATCCATGCATGCATGCAAGCCAGAAGCAAGCACCTTTTACTGCAAATAAGAAGTCTTGTAACAATGAGCTCTTGACAAGTTAGCATCCTGTGTCTTGCAGACAATTAAACCCCAAAGCCAAATATAAATGCTTATGGTTAATGCAGAGGAAATAAGCCAAAATAATATTGCTATTCCAATTCTAGTAGTGCATTATTGTCCTTTAAAATAATATGCAGTTTTTAATCTGAAAACACTTCCAGTTAGCCCTCTTTGACTTAATATGTCTATATAAAATCTGCTGCTATCAGTATCTTCCAAAATTACCTAATTAGTAAGCTAAGAAACTTAAAGACAAGTCAGGGATAAAGTTTTAAAGCAATATTCCAAGCTCCCAAAATCTCACAGAGCTATTTGCAATCCATTACCAGAAAACAGAATGATATACAGTTACAAGACATTAACCTAACACGACAGGCTGAGCTGTGAAAAATATCAATCAGAGAAGCAAGGCAAGGAAGTTTTATTTATATAGCACAATTCAGTTCAGACAAGTTAAAGTGTTTTACACAAATTAAATAATAAAACAGAAGCAACCCATGATTACTCTGGAGGGACCATAGAGATCTGAAGTTCGGGTAGGAGAATCTGTTGAATGAACGTCTTCTTGCCTTCATCTCCAAGCAGAGAGCCATTGTTGACAAAAAGATGCAAAAGATTAAGGTGAAAGTTCATTTGATTGTCACTGTCCAGAAGGTCTCCAACCTTACTAGATGACTAGGACTACAGTACAAATTAAAATATGTCATCCTGTCTCATAAATC